TCCGAAAATTCCATTCGGGGTTCCTCCATTTCATTCTTGTGCGGTGAGGAGGAGAGGTGCGACGCGAGATGTTCTCAAGTTGGGTGAGAGGGCGGCTCGTGGCGTGGGAGGAGGAAACGGACCAAGCCGGGCAGTGGGGTTGCGGGTGGATCGGCCAAGGTGGGGAAGAGAAAAACCTGCAGGACAATTTCTGCAGGAAACGGTTTTGGGAACTTTAATTGGAGGGATTTAACTTTGAAAATCAAATTTAAATCAAGAGGGGAGGGCGCGGTTTAATGGAGATGATTCTTGAGGGCTGACTTTGCTGAGTTATTGGGGTGATTAGCGAGAGAGGGAAGAGCTCAAGGAGAGGTCCGGCCAAGCAGAAGAGAAAGGGAGAGAGAGGGAATTAAGCAAGTGGGGTCCACGAAATTAAATCTCAGGTTTTTATTTAAAAATCTGAGAATTACAACAATTGGTTAGGCATAAAAAAGCGTAAGGTTTCTCTAATTTAAGTATTTAATTGGGTTGAATTTGGAAATATGTAATTTCAAATCCAACCAATTTATTTGGAGCTTAAATTAAGGAGGTATTTTAGTAACATTAAAAGGCTATTGAACCAAAAAACATTTCAGAATTTGAAAAAAATCAGAGAAGCGGAAAAATTAGGGGCGGCGGCAAGGAAGCATGGCAGGTGCGGGGCATGGCCGGCGGTGCTGGGTGGGGATTTGGGCCGGCGGGAGGGAGGCTTTGCATGGCGTTGGAATGGCGAGGTGAGAGCCAGCGGGCCTGGCTGGGACGGGCCGGCTAGCTGAGGCGGGCGGTTTGCTGGCTGGTCCAGGAGGTGGCGCTAAGGTGGAGGAGAGGGGGGGAAAAACTTGGAAGAAATCTGAGAATCTCTCCCACTGTATTTTCCTTCTCTTTCAAATTTCTTGCACTCCTTGTCTTTTCTTCACTACAAACAAGGAAATTAAACCTTTAGGAACTCACGGACGAGATCTTAGTTCTCCCTTTGAAACTCACTTAGAGTATCAAAAGGGAAATGCACCACAAAGAGAACAAAAGGATAAATTTATTTCATTCAAAAACTAAGAAATACAATGGCATTTATTGCCTTCATATATGGAGGCTCCAAATGAAAGAAAAAAGAAAGACCACAATGCCCTCGGGGCTACATAAGTCAAAAGATGCCCTCAGGGGCCAAATCGGCAAAAAATCTAAATAATTAATAATAATAAAAGTATGACATAAGCCTACAAAGCTCAAAAAAAGTAGAGCTCTGCATCGTAGCCGTCGATCCTGCGCCTCGGGCGATGGTACACGATGTCGAAATCTGATTCCCATCATTCCGGTGGGTGGGAGAGAACTCGACCTCCGTCGGAGTGGGGTGTCTCAGAAGGCCTCGTACCACTCCAGCATGCGTCTGCGGTCTAATCTCTGTAGCTCATCTCGGTTCGATGCCACACTTTCTCCGTCTCCGCTTTCCTTGCCCATTGAACTAAGTACCTTCCGGCGTACCACCGTCTCTAGTCTAGAAATGATTTCATCGCTCAAGCACTGCCTCGGATCCCCCGCAGTTAGGTTCAAAAGTTGTGGAGTTTTGGCGAGTGCGGGGAAGCGATCTCCTCATATATATATATATATATATATAATAACCTAAAGACTACCTCATGAAATCGGGTAGGGAGGCACGATCAGAGCTCGGGCTCGGCCTTGGTCGCGGGAGCTGGATCCAACAGGAGGGGGGGAGTTCGGCTTGGGGCTGTGGTCGGGCAAGGTGGAGAAGAGGAAATCGGGTAGGGAGCTCTCTTCTCTCTCTCTCTCTCTCTCTCTCTCTCTCTCTCTCTCTCTTACGGGATTCGGCCGAAGAGGCGCAGGAAGGGAGAAAGTTAACTTCACAGAGAGTGAACTCCCGTTCTTGTCTCCGATCCTAATGTCGTAACTTCCGTTCCGACTGGAAGGAGAGAGCGAGAGCGCAAGGGAAGAGCAGGCTCGGGAGGAGAGGGAGCGTTCGCGGGAGAGATCGAGTGCGAGGGAAAAAGGGAACCAGCAGCCAGGCCTTCATTTCCTCTCCCTTTTAACGACGCGAATGCGTCGTGCAGGCGACGTGGGAGAGGTGCTGTGGTCGTGTCCGCGACGTGCGAGTGAACGGCTCGACGTGGAATGGTAGAGTAGGTAAGATTTGATTTATATATATATTTTTTGTTTTGCTGGCCAAGGTTTAGGGTCAACAAGCACTATTTATTATCTATGTTGAGTAGGTTTGTGAAGGAAAAGCATTGAGATAAATGAGGGAATATCTAACTGTACAATCATGCTCATACCTGATTACTTAGGTTGTAATGTATCTCAGAAAGTTGACGAGCTCTATGCTGCCAATTGCTTTTGCTGATAATTAGAGAGGCTTTCAAGAAAATGAAGTGTGAAAAAACTGTTTGATCTAGTAATATTCCAATATAAGAGTGGAAAAGGGCAGGAGATGAAGGAATTTTTTGGCTTACAAAGCTTTTCAATATTCTTTTGATGACTAAAAAGATGTCAGATGAGTGGAGAAAGTGTGTATTGATTATTTTTATTAAGAATGAAGGTGATGTACAAGAGTGCACGAATTATAGAAGAATTAAGTTATTATGTCATATATTAAAACTATGGGTAGTTGTTAAGCATAGGTTATGAGGTGATATTAATGTTTCTCAAAATCAATTTGGATTCATACCGAGTAGGTCTACCATGGAAGCTATACATTGATTCAAAGGTTTGATGTAGAAGTATAGAGAGAATGAGGAGGATCCATGTATGATATTTATTGATTTAGAGAAAGCATATGATAAAGTTTCAAATGATTTGCAGAATTCTACAAAAGAAAAGACTTAATAATGCGTATATTCAAATAATTAAGGATATGCATTGAAGAGTTATTATTTGTGTTCAAACATAAGGCGGTTTGACCATGTATTTTCCTATTTCAGTTGGATTACATCAAGGATCGGCTTTAAGCCCATATCTTTTTGCTTTAATCAAGGATGTTCATAACTAAAATCTGCAAGAGGATGTGCCTAGGTGTATGCTTTTTGCTGATGATATTCTTCTTGTTGATAAGATTAGAAAGAGTGATGTAGAACTAAATGCTTTTAAATGAATGAAATAAGAATTTGCACGAGTTCTTGAATTA